TCAGTCTCTGGAGAGCTGGACGGAACCAGCGGTGAGGGGAGTTCCGGCTTGGGAGGGCTGACGGTGAGCGCGGGCTCGGCAGGGCTGGCGGTGAGTGCAGGCTCGGCAGGGCTGACGGTGACCAGTGAAGATGAGGGCTCAGGTTTTGGAGTGGTGCTGGTGACTTCCCTCACGGAGAATGGGGATCCACAGCACACCCGCACCCACTCCACACAGGCGAGGAAATTATCTTCTGGACCGCTCCCTGGGAGGCGTGCCCGGGACCGCTCGCTGAGGCCGGCGATGTAGAAAACACACAGCGAGTGGTCCGAATAGTGAGTGAGGTACGCCAACTCCAGAAAGTCCCTGGTATGGGACTCCAGGGAGCGGTCTTCCTGGTGCAGACAGAGGAGGCGTACCGCTGGAAGGTCCATAATGCTCAGATTTCTTTAGTGGTCGGTCGATCTGTCACGGGGTATGGTGCAGGAGATCAGGAGTGCAGGCGGAAGGAATAGGAGGAGTCCAGATTCACACGGAAGGTAACATTTAATTCAGGAAACAGGCAAGGATACAGGGTAACACGGGGTAACATTCGACATCGACCGACAATCAAAGAGTCAAACAAAGGGAACTAAATACACAGACTAATCAAACATAATGGGGTGAGAACAGGTGAAACAGATGATGATGACGAGGAACAGGTGGCTGATGAGGGAGTGAACACGGGATAGGGTGACGAGAGGATCCTGGGAAGTGTAGTGCTGAAGACAAGACAGACTGGTGCAGACGGAGGACTGTGACAATTGGCCGCTTTGGAACGTTGCTGCGATACGTCAACGGGTCCGCCATTTTGCAGAGGTCAAGACTGCATTGTAATTAAATGTGAGTAAACGGGTGAGCTGCGTTTTTCTGGATAAAAACATTCTTGGATAAGAATGGTGAAGATCCCCATACGGAGATATTTAAGTTTGCTCAATGTGGAAAAAGCATTTTATGTAATTGACCAGATTTTAGCAATAACATTGATAACTGATGGATCCTTTATGATAATACATATGTTGTGGTACAACTGGGCATGCAGTGCAATGTAAATAGTAATTATAACATAAAGTGAAAAGTAATAGTAAATAGTTTAGTCAATAAAATATACAAATAGTATACAGCAAATAAAATGGTAATGAATACATGTAAAAATATTGATAATAGTTTATTAATAATAGCAATAGAATAAGACATTTCAACTATAGAATAAACACACACAAAACATATTTAATATTTAGCTTTTTGTGCTAAATTTCAGTTTTATTGATCAGTAATAGGCTAGCCATTATAACAGAAGTAGCTTCAGTCAAACATACAATGTTAAAATAACCTAAATATAAAGTTATGAAACTTTACTTTGCCCTCAGCCAAAACTATTTACCAGGGAACCATTTATAGATTAATGAGACCAAAGATAAACACAAATTATACGAATTATATCTCATGTTTAACCTCTAGACTAGAGACATCCGAGCCAGCGGCAACCGTTAGAAGCACTGGCTGTGGTAGGGCTGTTCCAGGCGGGGGAGACTAGCGCTGGGCGGGGGCGCAGCAACTCCGAAAACTTCAGATCAAATTTTTAAATAGGCTCTATCTTTATAAACAAACCACATATTTGGGCTTTAAACAACTACATTGTCGACTGAAAAACTATTAAAACTACATTGCGTGACACAATAACAGTAGTATTTAATCTGTAAACGTTACTTACAAATTAAATCATGACCAAATACAACCAAAAACAAACGTTCAGTCTTGCTTGTGAAAGGTGCTTCCTCGAAAGCTGTTTTCAATTGTGTGGCGATTTTTACAGCCCCAAGCAGCACACAAATCAGGCATTTTTCTCAATGGGCTCTATGCACGGTGGTATTTCCGGTGAAGCATTAGGGATGCTCGATAACTTCCGCCGATCGTAGAGTCCAATGCAATGGGCTATATGCACGCATAAGTTCCGCATTTGACGTAAGGATGCTCGTCCATTTCCGGTTGTGTAGATTAAAGCGGAGGAAAACCGGAGAAAACGGGATTATGGCAGAGTCTTCAATATTTACTGTCCTCCCGTCTTTGAAACGAAACATACATACGTTTAGATGTAATTTTATATATAGTTATGTTTATTTAATATAATTTTAAAAAGAAGCATAAACACAACAAGGGGTGTCTGTTTTATCTGTTTTTGTGACTAACGTTTCATTAGTATAACCATGGAGTATAAAATTCAATATAAATTCTCGGTATTGCATTGGACTCTATGATCGGCGGAAGTTATCGAGCATCCTTAATCCTTCACCGGAAATAACGCCGTGCATAGAGCCCATACCGAGAATTTATATTGAATTTTATACTCCATGGTTATACTAAAGAAACGTTAGTCACAAAAACAGATAAAACAAACACCCCTCGTTGTGTTTATGCTTCTTTTTAAAATTATATTAAATAAATATAACTATATATAAAATTACAACTAAATGTATGTACGTTTCATTTCAAAGACTGGAGGACAGTAAATTTTGAAGACTCTGCCATAATCCCGTTTTCCTCGGTTTTCCTCCGCTTTAATCTCCACAACCGGAAATGGACGAGCATCCTTGCGTCAAATGCGGAATTTATGCGTGCATATAGCCCATTCCCGGTATGAGAGGTATGGGAAAGTTGCTCTCCCCAATATGGCGGCGCCGTTGACGTACGCTCCAGCGGCCAATAGGGCGTCTATGCATATATTATGTCTATGTCCTCAGCCCTCAGCCACTCCTTTCGCCCAACCAGGAAGGGACCGCCTCCAAACACAAAGAAATATGTAATTAGTGCACTCCCTGTAAATCAATGTAAAGGTAAAACAAAATAAACCAAATCAAAAAACTGTACTGTGTTTGTTATTTAGATATCAGTTTGGATGACTGTAAATAAGAATCAATACAACAAACAAAAAAAATAAAATAGAACGGTAATTAAATGTTTAGAATGGAGGTGATGTTACCCTGTGTGGCCGTAGCCGTCACAGCAGAGCTGGATGTTTTAGCTCATCCAGCTGATATTATTGGTCAAAGCAATACAATGCATACATGTTCTACAGTTTTTGTTACATTCCTCCGTAATTTATTTTTACTAGGTAGTGCACTCTTTGATTTATTGTATGTTTTAACACAATGTTTGAAATCTGATTTGAGGGTCATGTATGGATCTTCAAATAAAGAGGGCAAAGAAAATTCCAGTGGTGTCTGACTTTTCTTTTTCTTTTTTGGGTGGGAGGTTTGAAAGGGGTATGTTGTAACATTGCATTTAATCTACGACTTTAGCACAGAGAGGGTGATAACATACACCGTCCATTGTAACAGCAACCCTGTGTACTTGGTCAATAAAGTGCCATTAATTAAATACTGGGTTGAAGATTATAGTAGTCCATGCTGTATAGTTTACACTTGGGTTTGTCGCATCCAAAAGACAGTGCTGGGAAAGCTCAAGGAATTGTTTTTAAACCCCTGGTGTACAAAAATGGGTTGCTGCAAGGGGTTTTGAGAAATAGTAATTGAAATTTGTAGGGATGCACCAATACCAGTATCTGTATTGGGCCTGATACTGTTAGTGTACTTGTACATATTCAGCTGCCTAAAAACAAAACCATGTTGAAAACCTATGTAAAAATGTTCACCTTAGTCCATTTATGTACATTATAAAGAAGAACTATATAAAATCACATGTTAGCTACATATAAGTGAACATTTGAACCTTTATTGGATTTTTAGTAGGTTATTCTAGTGAATTGAAACTCAATACTTACATTTAAAAGTGTATACTGGCATTTTCTCTAAAAAAAATCTGTCGTCAACTGCGCACAAGGAATCCTGGGGTAGGCAAGGCCGCGAAGTATTCATCTGTTTTATCTTTCATTTCACAGGAAAAGAAGGCCGCATTTGAAGGAGCCTTTGAATTGGGACAGCCTTCGTCGCTCCACTGTGTCACAAATGGCTACCTTCCACTTTAACAAGTCCTGTAACAGTCTTCAAAGGATGCAGCCCCAGAATTGGGACACACCTTCATCCAATGATGACATCACTCTGCACGTCAGCTTCTCGTCAGATTTTCTGTCCAATCAAATGCTCCCTAGAATATGAAGTGTCCTGCCCCTCACACTATAAATAAAAGCTGAAATTGGTCACTTGCTCAAACATTTACTGTTTTCTATATGGTGAATGGGACATGACACTGTGTGTAGTGCTCAGTGGGAATATGGGGAACACAATATAGGGAATGATTCATGCAATGTAAATATTTTTTCTATGGGGCGAATGAAGTATGTTTTGTGTGTGTGTGTGTTAGTGTTAGGCGAATCACTGCTATATGCACACAGTCTGCTCCGGTCCAGAGACACGATAGCCCAGAGCGGGCCACCATTTCTCCAGCAACCTGTCTGTCACTCACAATTAGAGCATCTACTAAGCAAAGGTATCTAAAATAAACAGAAAATTATACACGAGTATAGTTTTATTCTCTTTATATTTACTATCATTATGATTAGGTAATTTTCATTATTAATCATTATTTATTTTATTTTTTTTTCCTCTAAGCACTAACGAATGCTCCACACGCCAGTTCAGTAGGTGGCGGCAATGCACCTAAATCATGTTTGCAAAGCGACAATAAACAATACAAGAAGAAAGTTTAACATGCAGCAAGCATGAAAATTATTACAGACTTCATTGTTTGAAGAACAGGACTGACGATCTCATGTAACACCCACAGACATAGGGAACACGAAGTAAAAGGTATATTATATGAGTTCTTTCAAACCTGTCATAGCGTTGAAGTTTTGTTAGCCTTTTTTTTTTTTTTTTGGACCGCTGCACAGACATTTTCAAGCTAGCTTAATCTGGATAATATTTAGTGTTCCCATTTTTAAATTAATTTCTGCCAACTACTAACGTTTTAAACCTTTAGGGAAATGTTACTTCACTGCATCAGAAGGCGTCTCCAGCTTTAAGCGAAAAGCTCCCCTGGTATCATCGGAATATATCCAAGTGCATTAGTACTCGTGATGTCAGTTCTGATGAAACCAGCCTCTTGATGCAACTTTGCGCTGAGCGTTATTACATTTCTTCTGAAGCGTTTCACACTAGGTCATGTACATATGGGCCCTTAGGAACAGAACTAAAGAAAAACATTATTGAGCTGTGGACTTCAGCAATACGTTCAAGAGCATATGTTTTTGGGATAAATACCTCAGCGTTAAGTATAACGTGTGAGGAACCTTTCAGGATTGTTGACATAAGGACTCTTAAAGAAATCCTAAACCAAGACAGTTTTACTACAGAAGAAGCATCTCAAAAGATTCAAAAACTTTTGAAAGACAATGCGTCTGTTCGGACGAGTCTGCTACAGGGTGAGTGCAGACCCGTCTTCACTATGCATACATTGCGCATTGCATAGGTCGCACAGTCCATGCGATGGTTTTAGTCATCTGGGATGTTATCATTTTCTCCTCAAGGTGCTTTACAGCAGTATACTCAGGCTTTGGAGCTTGTGAATAGGACATTACCTTTTGGATTGGCAGAGGTTGGTCTGTGCCATCATTTCGATAATCAGCTCAGACATTCATCCAGTTGGTGAGTCAGGCCTTATTATCTTATCTATCATTTTTATCAGCTGCGTTATTTTAGACTTAATGTAAATCATGTAAAATAGTAATTATTTTAATTTCTTTTCCTTTACATATGCAACCTTTTAATTAACTTCTGTTAGTTCTTTTGAGGTAACCGAATCATCTTTGGTCTGGTTCTGTTCTCCCCGGACTTCTTCACAGTGGATGGACTACTGGGCTCATCAAAGACTGCAGTGGTGGAGGAAGGTAAAGCATGGAAGCACAAATATGGGAGAATTGGGTACTGACACTTAGAGCAGTGGTGGTTCTCAACTGGTTTGGCTATGGTCGTTAAGCTGTGACCCAAATATTTTCCATATTTTCTTAAAAATGCCTGACACACAAGTACTGTCCCTCTTTACTTAAAATTACATTAAAGGGATAGTTCTTTCTTCTGAACACAAAAGGATATGTTTTAAAGAATGTTTCAGACCTGACTTCCATAGTATTTTTTTTCTTACCATGGAATATTTTTTTTCTTTACTCTTGTGTCTGACAGTACATTTAAATTGGTAAAGTTACTGATTTGAAAAGTTAGTAATAAAATATACAACAAAGCAACACATTATATAATAAAATAAGCAGATCTATTATTTTCCATTTAAAAGCCAAGACTTAAAGGGTTAGTTCACCCAAAAATGAAAATTCTGTCAGTATTTACTCACCCTCATGTTGTTCCAACCCCGTAAGACCTTCGTTAATCTTCGGAACACAAATTAAGATATTTAAGATATTAAGATCGCTCCTGCATACAGTCCATAGGCTTCTTGAGGGACTGGCTCTTGCTGTCCCCGAAAAGTCATTAAAGACATCGTTAAAATAGTCCAAGTGACTACAGGGGCTCAATCTTAAGTTTATCAAACGACGAGAACACTTTTGTGCGCAAAAAAACAACAAAAATAACGACTTTATTTCAACTATTCACGTCCTTCTCCATGAGCCTGTAAGTCAGTTAACGTAGTGTGATTGCGTAAAGCTACGTCAATCTCACTATTGGCCGACGCTGGTCATGTGTGTGTGATGCGTGTGACGTACAATAACAGAAGCTTACGCTATTAAACTAGTAACCTGACTCGCGCAGAGGCAGAAATAAACGAATAGTTGAAATAAAGTCGTTATTTTTGTTGTTTTTTTGCGCACAAAAGTGTTCTCGTCGTTTGATAAACTTAAGATTGAGCCCCTGTAGTCACTTGGACTATTTTAACGATGTCTTTAATGACTTTTCGGAGACAGCAAGAGCCAGTCCCTCAAGAAGCCTATGGACTGTATGCAGGAGCGATCTTAATATCTTAAATATCTTAATTTGTGTTCCGAAGATGAACGAAGGTCTTACGGGGTTGGAACAACATGAGGGTGAGTAAATACTGACAGAATTTTCATTTTTGGGTGAACTAACTCTTTAAAGTAGTTCACTTTAAAAAAAAAAAAAACTTTTGGAAAAAAAAAAAAAAAACTTTGCTGATAATTTACTCACCCTTATGTCATCCAGTATATCAATTTCATTCTTTTTTCAGTCAAAAAGAAATTAAGGTTTTTGATGAAAACTTTCCAGGATTTTTCTCCATATAATGCACTTTACTGGCCACCAAACGGTTCATGGTCCAAATAACAGTTTCAGTGCAAACTGCGAACTGTTCAAAGGGCTTTGAACGACACCAGATGATGAATAAGGGTCTTATCAAGCGAAATGATAGGTCATTTAAAAAAAATATAACTAAGTTTAAGTTTTATTAGCCAACATTCACCCAGAGTCATAGCGCCACCTAGTGGATTAGGGTTGTGTTTAAAACACATGCAATGGAATTTAAATTATTGCTCCTAGAGCACTGAACCAAATTCGACGAAACTCGATCAGCGTGAAGTCAAGACATTAAGGATGAAAAAGTGCCACGGGATTTTTGATATCTCGAACGGTTTGGCCGTGGCGAGGAAACGAAATTATGGCGAGAAACATGAAACAGGATGTCTGTTATAACTTCAGCATACATTAACTGATCTTGATGAAACTTCAGCAGTGTTTTCGCTGTAAGAGACCGATCACATGGATGTGACTATTGTGAGTCAAAGTTATAGCGCCACCAACTGGCAGCAGGAAGTGTGTCACTTTCAAAATGCTTTGAAATCACTCTCTTTATTTTTAACCGATTTGCTTCAAACTTCATCTGTATAATGTAAATACACGGCAGATGTAGACCTGTGAATGAATTTTTGATATCTTTGATACTGTTGCCGTGGCAACGAAACAAACTTTAACATTCTTTTTTGATGCTTTTGGGACTCTTAGCATGCTTGAAATTGCTTAAACTCAACAGATACATCACATTTATTAGCCAGTAGACATGTGCAACTATGGCAAAAGATTAAAGTAATGTCAAAAAAGTAAACACTAAAAGCCTCATATCTTCTAAAAATGTAATTATACATCATTTGTTTCTAAATTAAATTATACAAATATTATAACTTCCCCAATTTTTCCCTTTTTTCATTTAAGAATTATGTTTACGTTCAAAAACAGCCAGAATTGTTGTAAAATTCAGAAAAAAATAATAATCTGAGTCATACGTAGTGCTATACTGCCCTCTTGTGTTCAATATCAGGTAGGCCTATTGTGTATATTCCCACCGGTTAATCAACGTGTGACTCCGCTGGGACTTGGGAGCTTTTAAATCGCTTACTTAAAACCGAAAGTCAAAATACGGATGTCCGCACAAGACATTAATGGTGTGGAGTAGAGCGAGCATTTTAAATAAATTCCTATTAAGTAGGATTGAACTAAACAGAAAGAATGTTCACTCTGTTCTGCTGGTTCCTCGCTGGTGGATCATATGATTACTTTGTCATAATCTATGACAAAAATGCTATTATAAACTATATTAATAATAGATAATACACATTGCTCTTATTTTTAAAAAATACATTCATGAAAACAAGATAACAAAAATCATAAAAAGATATAGCCATGGCTGCTATAAATGTTTTGAAATGCATAGGACAGATGTTTAATGACGCAGCAACATATAATTGAAAGGCAATTAATAATCTGTCATTATGTCACTGCATTATGATATTACGGCTCTAATACGGTGCAGCACAAAGCACTTATGTGCATCCCGAGCGGAGAATGATGTGCTTGAAGCCACATGAAGTTACAGCGCATTGAGTCCGTATTGAAAGTTCAAAGCACAAAGGAAATACATATTTATGAACAGTGTATTATACATTATCTATCTATGCAATAGTTTATTGAGCCTTTTCTTTTTAAAGGTTTTAAATTTCAGTTACTGTGTGCGTGAAGAACAATTATAGTGCTCTGACTCTAGTGTTGTGATCTAACCGACAGCGTCTGACCACGGTAGAAAGTAAACGATTAAGTTACAGGCAATAAAGTCCAGCAAGAAAAAGTTTCTTCATTCGAAAATATAGACCTTTAGACTTTATCTTAAAGACCCAGTATAATAGGATTAACATTGAATCATCTTGAAGATCGTTTCATCGTTGACTGTAACCGAATGCGACGTGCTGTTTGAATGCTGAATGGAGAATGACTGACAGGCGCAGAGAGGGAAAAGTTTATGTGTCTTGAATTTAATGACTAAATATTAATTTCTATATCACATAATAGCTTCAGAACACTTATAATACAGTACACAAAAACTTTATGGTACTTTAGAAAGTTTTTGTGCCTTTGTGCCTTACATAGAATAGTATATGCACAATATAGAATTTGAATCAGCCTCGTCAAAGATGGCAGTGTCAGAGCCGATACCGATCCTGAGTATCTAATCGGCGCACTTCTTTTCAACAGTCAAATTGAAATTGAAATTGCTTGAAACTCAACAGATACATCACATTTATTAGCCAGTAGAACGTGCAAAGTTTCAGAAACGGGCATGGTGCAAGGACTAAATAGCGCCACCTTTTGACAAAAGTGGGGTTGTTAGTTTTATCTACAGTTACAAAAATCGGTATATACATTTTACTCCTCAAGCCGGACAACTTTCTATTACATAGTCATTAGCTCGGACAAGAGGAAGTCCGATATTTTGGTTTGAATGTGGTGAGCCTCTCTCTGAGCCTACGTCCCTGTATGGCAAGCCCTTTTAACATTTAAAAGCAAGTTTGCCTATCCGGAATTAACATTGGTAGATATCAACAACGTCTTTCTGTCTAGTCGTAATTACATTTTGGATAGTTTGTATTATCATTTAAGATATCTGTAAACATAATTTTGACTAGTCGAAATGACAGAGTATGGCAAGCCGTTTTAACATTTAATCATGAAAGGGCCAAAGCCTTCGGCACCGCCACCCGGGTGCCTTTAGGTAACTGAAGGAACCGGGGT